CAAGAAATGGATAGATATTCTAGTCTTCTTGGATAAGGACGAATAAACCGTAGGCCCCGTCTCCTGCAGGGTTAGGGAAAGGAGACATTAATTTCCCATGCATGAGATTACTGTGTGGTGGATGTCCTCCCCTGGGGTGGGATGCGTGGGTTTACTGGGCCCACAGTAATTGGCGCAAGCTGTTACGGTGTACCTGCCTGTCGGCAAATCTAATAAATTTACAAATAAATTAATTGGTTGATGAAAAAACAGCTCACAAGTCTTCAGTGTTTAAAGTTGAAGTAATATTTTAAAAATGTTTTATACCATATAATTTTAAGTGTTTCACTACTCAAGTACAGCAAAATCATGGCAGGTGACTAAATCTCTGCTTTGCTCGTGATCATTTTGTTGACACTGGGCTTTTAGTTGTTCTGTATGGAAGAGTTCTGTGGTGATGCTTTATTTGAAACAAAATTAATGAATGTTTCCTTGTCAAATGTTACTGATGCGCAATACAAACAAGAAATTTATACTGCCTTCGTGCAGTATCAACTCACTAAGTGAAAGTAATTTTCATGTTCTAGATCCCGAAATTGTTATAAATACATAAAATAGCTGAAGTTGAATAACTGTGAGGAATTGACATGGTTTGTTGCTACTCTGGTTTAAAGATTTAATGAATGGGTACAAGCAAATCATCAGCTGACACTTTGAATCACAAAGTCTGGTTCCCTCAGTTCAAGCCTTGGAGTCAATGCTTCTTTAATAAGCAAGTCAAACCTCTTTATTTCCATTGATCAGCGTTACTCGATATTTTTTAAATGCACGGAGCTTGTAAATTATACAAGAAATCTCTAGAAACCTTGGTCAAAATGAATCCACCAAGACTATGAAAAAATGAGTCTACCACGACGATAAAAAAAATCATCTGACAACCATATTGCTAATCCTTACCACATCCATGCACTAATGACAATCATTAAATAAACATTCGATTTTTAAATTAGATTATTGTTTTCTCTTCCAATTCCAAATATGTCATCGGCTCTTTCAATTAATGGTATGTTAAGTTTAGAGTAAATCGGCGAAGATCTTGAAGCCGTGTAAATAACGATATAAGTGCCTTATGACTAACCTTTCCCATACAAAGTGGCTACCAAATTAATGTACTCTTCACTATTGGCTGAGCGCTTTCTACTGTGATCTCCGCCAGACAAGAAGACCTTTGCTTCTCCATGGAATTCCACTCGAATGCCGCGAAGTTTAAGTTCGCTGTTTACCTTGACGTTAACATTACCGTAGATGACTTCACCAGGGAAGAACGTTGACTTATCTCCCTGAAATACAACTCTAAAAAAATCAACTTTCCCCATTAGAATATGTACTGCTCTTAAAGCTGAGTAGGCAAATTGACAGCCATTTTATAAAAGCCGGAAGAGTAAAGAAAATTGGAGGGGGTTCGAAAAAAACACTAGTACCCAGACTACCCAATCTTTGCTATTTTTGGTATGTCACGCAATACACAAGAACATCTCGTGAATAAGAAAGGAAAATAAATAAATAAATAAATGAATAGTAAAAAAAATAGCACGAAAGGATAGATGATAACATGGAAATACTAGATGAATAAACAAATGATGAAACTGCAAAAAACAAAACAAAACAAAACTAAACAAAACAAGCTCTTTTTATCTTCCTTTAGGCCCTCAAAGATTGTGCAGATAAAACTAACGTATCATGCTACTAGCATTGCCCGCTTTTTTTCCAAATTATACTAAAAATTATGCACGTGTTTGAAAAATTTGCTTTTCAAATAAGAAACACAAGTTGAAAGAGGGTTTTAGTAAGAGTTAGTCATTTGCACCATTAATATTGTTCGCGTACTTTTTTTCTATTTCAGTGGTTCTTCATTGCACAATTATTCAAGTATTTCTAAACCTGCGAGCCTCAGCAAATTGAAATCAAATCTTAACTCCCTAAACTTGTTTTGGTTGAAGAAAAAATTGAGTTTTCCCATTTTATCGTCGGTGTATTTAGAACAGGTTGAACAAGCACCAAACTCGACTTCTTTTGGGCATTTGTTTGCGTGATGACTATTCACATCACGTTAGTTGATTACGTCATCAAACGATAAGGTTGCTTCAATGGAAATATATATTGCCAAAGATATATTTTGTCAAGACTGGCATAGCCTGATACATAACTGTTATTCTAAGCTGTTGTTCAGTGCTCCATGAAATATCTCCCAACCAAGGTAAGTTTAATAGTTAACAAAATTTCGGAACCTTTTATTTAGTCACATCGACAGGTATCAATGTTCCTCTCTTCTCGCAGATCAATTTCGTTCTATCAAATTTTGGCGACCCTTGACATGAAGAGAGTAAAAATTGGCGAATAGATTCATACTTTGGCCAGCTACTTTAAACTTGGGAAGCGAACGATGAAAATTCGAGCACATGAACCTTGACTAATTATAATTCGATTTGTTATGAGAGATTGGCGATAGAGCTTACAAGCGAATCGAACGAACTTCAAGTGACGAAAACGCCGTCCTTTCCGGTTTATGAAATAATAATGTTATGTAATCTTTATTTAAACACGATCAATTCATCAGCCCATAAAAATACATATCACATACGCTAAGATATTTAAAATTAAAACTACATACTATGGGCCTGATTACATGAGCCGGGCTGGCCCTGTTAGCCGGGCTGATTTCTTTT